GTTCGATGGCTCCCTTGCGCAGAAGGATAGACACCTCTTCCAAAAGAGCTGAAGAAGGGGGCATGGAAATGAAGACTGGAGTAGTGGGGTTCTGTATAAATTCTATACGGTACCCATGGGTCAAGATGGACAGTACCCATTCGTCTGAGGTGACAAGGCGTCAAGTTTGGATGAAAGGTGCTAGACGGGTGGGGTGTGACTGACGAGAATGGAAGTCAAAAGCCCTGTTTTGTGCACTTAGCCTGCTTGTGGCGAGGGGGTTGTTGTCCCGTTTGGTTTTGGAAATGTGGGCTTCTGGCCTCCAGATGTACGTGGCCTCCATGGCTGCTTAGACTGACAGTTTGGGGTGCGTTTTTGCCAGGGTCTGGACCAAGTATGAGGCCGGTATTGTTGCCTCATGGAGAAAGAAACACCCAAGATATGAGAGGCCTTTATGCTTTTGTCCATATCCTGCAATATGGTGTCCGTGGTGCTATTGAAAAGATCAAGGCCATCGAAGGGGAGGTCCTCTACGTATGCCCTGGTGTCCGCCTGCAGATTAGTGTTGCAGAGCCATGAGTGTCTTCGGAGAGCAATGGCCAAAGTCATCGTTCTTGAGCAGGTGTCTAAAGCATGCTTAGAAGTATTACTTTGTTTTTTTGCCAGCCCCATGCCTTCTTTTTGGATGGTGCGGGCCAACTGCTGTTTGTCCTCCAGAAGGGCCGCCAGCATCTCAGAAAGCTTTTCCCATAAGGTATATTGATACCTACTCATGCAGGCTAAATAATTCGTGGTCTTCACGACGAGTGCTCCCGTGGAGTAGCACCGTCGGCCAAATGAATCTAGCTTTCTACTCTCCCTGTCTGAAGGGGCAGAATGGGTTTTCTTCGACTTGGATGAGGAAGTAACCAACATTGAGTTTGGCTGAGGGTGGGTGAATAAGAATTCCGCTCCTGCTTCCTGGACCCTGTACATATGGTCCATGCGGCGTGTGGACACTGGAGCCGATGATGGTTTATCCCATGGCATTTTGGCCTCCTGTAAAAGGACCGTCAACATGGGCAACGCTATAGCTGTTGACGTATCCAATTGTACAACGCCGAATACGGCATCAGTGCCCAATGGTTGCGGCTGTACCACAGAAAGACCAAGGGAATGGGCAATCCTCTTAATGAGGTCTCCATAAGAGGTTAGGTTTTCTGAAGGAGATATGGGTTGGTCATTGGCCACTGCCTGCTTAGGAGATAGTTGGTCAGGCGAGCTGTGGACCTCTGAGACTCCCGTGTCAGAATTCTCCTCTGTAGAATCAGAAGAATCGGGGTCTGGTAATTGTACTGGAGTGGCTTCCAACTGACCGGTTGGATCCAAGATTGACTCAGTTGGAATAGGAGGACTAGGAGATCGATATTGATCTGATCGATGCCGAGGAGGATCTTCAGATGGACGACCCGGAGGGCGAGAAAGAGATGCAGAGGATGTTGGCCTCGATCTGCGGGGGGACTGGAATCTATGCACAGAGTAACGATCCCAATCCGAATAACCTGCTGGTGTTAACCATGGCATGGACGCAGGCGGTTAAGCTCTGTAAAGATAGCGTAGCTGGTGGTGATCCCACGAAAGAGCAGGAGGTGGTGGGGGCAGAAAGACCTGTGGGGATCTACTCCTGGAGCGGGAGTGTCTGGGAGATAAAGAAGCTTCTCGTCTCCTGGAGCGGCCCCTATCAGCCCGAGTATCGATATCGAAAGGCCGGTCCTCGGTGAAGAGGTGGGGGGGTTGACTGAGTGGCGGAAGAGATCTGTCAATGCCGACCTGTACTGGTATCGGCATGGAACTCCGAAAGTGGCAATTCCGATGACTGAACAGAGGGAGAACGATCCATGCCCAAGGGACGGCTGAGGATTTCCACGTTCTCGATGTTGGAGAAAGGACACATGTCCGCCAGCGTGTCATGGTTTAGCTGGTGTATAGGGGAGTCCATCAGCTGGATGGTCGGTATCGGTGGGGCGATTGGAGCCTCCGATGCCGATACTATAATAGAAGCAGGGGGCACCTTAGGGGCATTACCTGGTGCAGAACCCGTGACCTTTCCAGACTTCGCCGCCTTCAGGGGCTTAGAGGAACCGTTCTTGGCGGGCTTGTGGTCCTTACTCTATTTCTCCTTTTTCTTTTTAACAGGAGTGGATGCCGAAGACTGTGTCATCGGTGCCGGATGCTTCGATGTCGGACGAAGACTTTGATGCTGGAGCCGTCAATGTTGATGGTCTCACAGGTACATCTGGATCCATGCCAGAAGTGGGGTTAAGCGCCGATTTCCAGCAAAGCAACTCTGAGATGCGCTGCCCGATTTTTCCTAGTCTGATTGGAAAACTTGGCACAGTGTTGGGAAGACTCTGGGCGGTGCGTCTCACCGAGGCAAAAAATACAAAGGGTGTGCCCGTCAGGCGGAGCAAGCTTACTGCCACACCCAATACAACGGTTGAAAAAGCCGCACTTTTTCTCCATAAAATAAACAAAGACAGAGAAGAAAAGGGGAAAAGGAAAAAATGAGGTGAGGGGGGGCCAAACTGAGGTAAAGAAAAGACCTCCCCCTCAGAATATTTTTTTTAAGATATAAGAAGAAAAACACAAAGAAGATAAAAAGAGGTTGATTGAATAAAATCCGAAGAGTTGTTCTGAGGAAAAATAGCTACCAATCTCACCGACCAAGAAACGATGTTTCTAGCGCAGCGGAAAGAAAGGAACTGGCGGGATGTCCATGCCCACCCCTTTGGGCATGCGTGGTTGGGGTTCCTGCACATGCCTGCGGCCTGGGTGCAAAAATCTGTTGGAGCTTGCTACAATACCGATTGATCCAGCGCAGGCGCACTGAATCCCATGGGTGTGAAGCACAGAGACCACGTCGAAGATCTATTGGAAACTGCTTTCATCAAAAGAAAAATCATGAAAAGTGCTCATGCTCACCCAACTTTCTGGATCCTGTCCACCATTTGTAATATTTTCCCACTATATGAAACTGATTAGAACTATCCTAGTTAAAATTTTACTATTGCTATATAATCTTCTGAACTAGTTTCTTGAGGCAATTTCCACCCTCACAGGTTTCTCACTTACTGTGAAGGGAAAATAGATTCACTCTAATTTTGTGGTTGTCAAATATATACAGATAAATATGAATATTTGGGAGTGAGCTGAAGATACAAATTTATTCCAAAAAGAATCTGAGCTATTCCTTTTTCTTTTTTTGCTGTAAAGTAAAAGCCACTGGTTAGATTTGAAAAGAACAGACAATAATATAAAACCAGTTTATGTAAAAATAATTTCAACAATGATCTGCAAGGAAATCAGTCAGCCTCCAATTATGTTCATTTTCAAAAACATCTGAAATACATACAAATATATTTAAGTTACAGTATGACTTCATGAAAATGTCTTCTGTGTACCCATGTTTAAACATTAAAATGAGGTTTCTTTTTTCTTCAAACAAAAGAGCAACAAGCAGGACAATGGTCAGTTCCAATTAAGCAGTTCGGTATTTTTGGGTTGCATCAAAACTTCTGCAAATGGAGCAAGTTAATGGAATTGATTTCACTACCTTCTTGCAGCAGCCTTTGAACAGCCATTACTGATGGTCTCTGAAAGGAGAATCAGGAGAAATCCCACTCAGTGTGGTACAAAACATTTGTCCTGTTTGCAGAGCTTGCTCTGCTCACAGAAAAAAGGGAAATTCCAGCAGATTTCTCCTTGATACAGCCACCCAGTCACATGATAATGTTTCTGAAGATTCTCTAACTCTCATCAGTAGCTCACCAGAGAGCACAGTAGGATGCTGAGAGGTGGTAAAAAAGTGCTTCTACAAACTTGCTCCACATGTGGAAGCTTGGATTCAACCTGTTTTCCTTTCCTTCTTTCTGGGAAGAGCCCTCCCCGCCCCACACAGATCCTGGGGCCAGCACAGAAGAAGCCCAGCCAGCCCCAGGACTGAGCTGGAGTTTTTTAAAAAAAAAACTGGTGTTTTTTTTCTCAAGTCGAGAAGAAAAAATTTGGGATTTCCGAAAAATCTTGGATTTGAATACCATGCTGGCATTGGGATCCAGAATTTTTTGGAAATTCCTATTTTTTTCAGGTCTCATAGACCCGAACCAAAAAATACCAATGAAAAAAAAATGCACACCCTGTAGTTTGGAACAACAAAGATTCTGGTCAAAATGTTAAAGCTTTGTTGCCAAATGTGCATTATCTATTTGGTAAACAAAACAAAAATGTCATATGAAGTTAACATAATAATCCATTTAATACTTATATAAGATTAAACCTATACCATATTGATTGTGATGAATAAGAATGTACTAAGTTGTCGCTATAAGGATTCAGTTAACTATCCATAATGAGCAATGGCATATTTCATGTTTTCCAGAATGACTAGAAAAGTCACACACAAATCATGTTAAGATATGGACAAGACCAAACTACCAAACAATACTTCACGTGGTTCTAATTTTCTCCCCAAAACTGCATGAAAATTTGCTTTGATAAGTGACACGATGTTAAAGCCATGGGAAGTCTGCAGTTCAACGAAAAAATAGTAATAACCACTACACACCAGTTCTAGAGCACACTTATGTAACTTTTTGAATTCCCACCGTCCTGTTCATAGCAATGTTTCATTAACTATGGTGGTGGTGGGGGAGATACATTTATTTCCACTAATTATTCTCCTTTAAAGTGGAATCCTGGGTATAATTGTGCATGTTACATATATAAAATGATTGTCAAAATACTTTAAAATATAAAAGACAAAAAGGCACATATAGATTGTCTACACTTAAATCACATTCCTTTAGAAACAGAATAATTTCTGAGATTTGTAAACAGTTTCTTCTCACATTTTTAAAGTGAGGTTAGTGCTGTCCCCATTATTGCTACATTCACAGTTTAGCAAAATTTTAGATTAGGTATGACTAAAGTGTGAAGTCATACCTGAAATACGAAGACCTTCATTTTATCTTATCCATTTGAGGTTTACAAACAAGTGAGTTATGCAGACTAAACCTGAATACAAAACTGAGTAACTTATTCACTGTGGTGAATATCTGTACTAACTGAACTTGCAACATTTTCTGCAGCATATTCAGCATCTTCATTTTGTCCACACTGGGAGACATTTCTGGGCACATGACTAACGAGTTATTAGAGTATTATTCAATTTCTTGCATGAATATCCTTCAGGCATCAGATACTCTCCCACATCTGTGTTGTTTAATTCAGCAGTTTGGATCACCTTCCCTTAGAACTTCTATCATAAATGTCCCTTATGCTTTTTGTTAGCTGCTTTATGAACACTTTGTATATTCTTCCACAGTAAGTATGTTGTGTCTTTTGTAGCTCCAGTTCAAGGGGTAGCAGCAAGGAATGTACCAGGTCATCACCAAATGAATACTGGAAGAAAAAAAATTAGAGATGCTATATGAATATGCTATATGAATATGGTTCCAGCAGCACTATTATTTCAAAGCTGTTTTGAAAATGCTTTCCATTTTTGCAAAAATATTCAACTTTGTGGAAGAGTGTCTCTAAATATGTTTAATGGACATGACTAGTAAAAACCTGACAGTATGTTTAATACAGTACAATATACAAAATCCTCTCCTGACAAGTTCGTAATATATTTCCATTACTCAAAACATCCAATTACTGTCAACTGAAAAATGAATGCAAAATGTTTTCACCTAGGGGAAAAAACTCTTCATATAACCATTCAGGCAAACACATTTAAAAATGAGTCAGACACCTAAATTAATGGGTTAATTTACATGATCATATGCCTGCCATGTTGCGGCTTTTGGCCTGAAATGGGTATAATTATCTCTGTCTGCCATTATTTAACATAATATATCGCTCTTATTGAGTTGAAACAGTAGAAAAAGAATAATCTATAGTACCATTAAAGATGGGGCAGTTTCATTAAACTGAATTATGAACAAGTACATACAGTATTTAATGGAAACCTGAAGTAAAAACAGCCATTAATCCAATGTTACAGGTTATTTTACTATGGGTTGTTTTTTTAAAAAAGTGATATGCAAACTCAACATTTCAAAATAAAATAATTTTGCTAATCTTGTTCACATCAGGTCAGTATTGATCTACATCTTTTCTGTGCCTTATGCATAAAAAAAAACCTGATCGTAAATAAAGTTGAGAGGTTTTCTTTTCTTAATATTTTTCTGGCAATACTCCAAGGAGCAAAGAACTTGCATTTTTATGAGATCACATTTTCTTTCAGTGTAGTGTATCCTTAGACCCCCAATAGTACTTTTCTTCATTTTTATACTTTTACGACAAGATGCAACAAAGCACCATTAAAATATACTATTGATTTTGAAGGTTATATACAAGATAGGATGCACCATTAAAATAAGCAACATTGCTGCATTTTACAGCTCTTCAGTGAGAATGCTGAAATACTGATAAATAGTTTATTAGAAACCTTATTTGCAGAATGTGGAAGCTGAACAATTATGCCAAGCTTGAAAGATTTCTATAGGCTTTTACGTATTATAAATTGCACAAATTAAATCAACTAAATTATACCGAATAAGAGTTTGGAGTGAAAACAAAATTGAACTTTCAGTACCCAAACATTGCCTTATTCTTTATCAAAATGTGAAGAAAATTATCACAGATCTTCCAGTTGCCCACTGTGGTGTGCCAGTGCAGTTCTCACAACTACAAGCACTTTGACTGGAGCAATGCAGCCTGGGACTACAGCACTATGCCAGATACCCCACTGAAATCCTAGAGACTCCTGAAGTTGTGTGCTTCATTACATTGATATTTAAATAGGCTTAATTACATTGACATTTAAATAGGTCAGGATTTCAGCACAAATGTTTTCAAATTCCTACCTTGTATGTTAAACAGAAAACTGTTTAACTGAGATTTTAAGACAGCAATGTGTACAAAGGATGAAGTTAAAATTCATAGGGATATTTTTACTATAAAGTAGAGTTAATACCAATACAGAGATGAAACTGCAAATGCTTACATATTTTATTGCTTCATACACAGCCCGAAAAGCTGGTTGTTTGTCATCATGATAAACACCTCTGTTTCCATGAAGGATAAATATTCCTTCTTTTTCAGCCTGCTGACAATTGCTTCCATAAATGCAGTGGTCAGGACGATAGTTCCATTGGCAAGGAAACACAAACAGGCTTTCTGTACAGAACAAACACACACACACAAACACAATTTGATTGGGGCAAACTTACTCATTACAATTTTCATTATTACTACCCTTCAAGAACCACTGTATCAACTGGCTGAATTCTACTCTTTGCAAAAGCTCTCCTGACCTCAAAAGTCACTGTATTTACAAAATAATCATACCACCTACATTCTCTCAATAATATTAAAGGGACATTAATTATGAATTACAGCAGGTGAAATTTTGTGGAGGATATCTGCTTATAAGACCTCTGAGCTTGAATTTACAACAGATTCAAATTGCCCAACCTGCTGAAAAACTAGGTTTTCAGCAAGCATTTTGCATAAGACACACAACATATCACATTGAACCCTAAGTACATGTCAATGAATAAACATCAAGCCCATGTTTTTTTAAGCAAAACATTCTGTGGACCAAGCACTGATAACCAAAATGCATGATTCAAATACTACACTAAACAGTTTCACAAAAACAAATTACCTGGATTATGAAAAAACATGATGTTCAGAAGATCCTGATCACCCCATGTTATATTCAATTTGTATTTTTTTAACAGCGGCATAAGAATTTCTTCCCAACGTAACCGTGCTGTTGTCATATCATTCTTCATCATAAAAAACAAACATCAACAGAGGATGTCATAGTACACAACAAACTACTGAATCCTTAATTTCATATTTGAGTGTATTTAGATCAGCCTTTTTTTGTTAAAGATACTCAGTGTTGCATTTTTACAATTATTATAAAATGTAAAGTCTTAGGGTGCAACAAAAACAAGAACATAGAAAAGCTAAACAACAAAACAATCCTAAACTAAAATTAACTTTAATTAAAATACAGAACACCTAAGCACACACTGGCTATTTAAGAACTATCCCATACTTAAGAACAAGTAAGGTTACCACCAGTCCACACAAAAGTTTATCAGTCCTCCATTCACAATACACCTTTATGTCACAAGTTGTTTGAGTAGTGGGCTAAACAAACTACTACCTTGAAGCAACTGTCATATGCCCCAGGTAAGTAGCTAATTGCAAGACTTCCATAAAAAATTAAGGCACCAAATAAAACAAGCATCACAATATGTTCAGAATTCAGTTACATGGGCTAAATAATTTAGGATCTTACAAGCAGGAACTGCATTTTGATGACATATTAAAAAAGAGAGCCTTTCTTCAGAAATTCAGAAAAATTACAAATTACAAATGATGTCACCCTGAATATTTACTGTATAAAACATAGCCGGAGAGATCCTCTCTAAAATCACAGAAGCTCCCCCTCCCCCAGGAGGACTGCCTCCCAAAATCCTGTTAATCGATGATGGGGGACCTCAAAAGCAGCATAAAGGGGAAATAGGAGGGCACAACATGTGGGAATCTGCAAGGACTTGAGGGAGGTATCTCATTTCCTTTCCTCTAAAGGCCCCATGGCTTCTTCCCTTTTCCCTGCTTCCTTCTCTCCTTCACACTCTCCAGCAAACCTACCCCTATCTCCCCCACCAGACCAGGTTTCTCTCCTCTATCCCTGGCAGCCTCTATCTTGGAAAACTATGTCCCAGTTACACAGTGCTAGCCGCCACTGTCAGACTCCGGCAGCCCCTAGGGAGGGAGTAGCCCAGTCAGGAGCATCCCACCGTCCCATTTTGGCCCACTGCTCCTTTCGCTTCAATTCACGCCCATTCAGTTCTCCTTCAGGCAGCATGGTGCACCCATTACCATTGGGTGACGGGTCTTTGTTTCAGCCTCCTTAGCTCATCACTTCGGTGGTACTCAGGGTCGAGGGAAAAACAGTTCTGTACTATGTCAATTCCTGGTCACAATTACTCCCACAAACACTCTTGTAGCGGCAAGATTTGTTTATTAGGAGACAGAGAGATTCCAAGCATGGACAAGTTCTGTGTCGGAACTGGGTTCCAGAGGCCAGTCCCCTCCAATATAGTAAAAGCAGGAAAACCCACAGATGCCAAATGACCAATAATTTCTCTCACTCAGCCAGCCACACATCTGCCTGTGCCCATACGACCGCCCCTACCACCTGCAAGTTAATGGTTACATTATCTAGAAGCCCCACAAACTACAAGGTGGGGAAGCTGCAAGGACTTGTGAGTGGCACCTCATTTCCCCTTCTATCACCTTCCCCACAGTATTTCCTCTTTTCCTTCTCCTGGCAACCCCCCTGTCCTCACCTTTCCCTGCTACCTTCTCTCCTTCCCAACCTAACTTTTATCTGCCTCCCCCATTTTCAGCAACATCTATTATTTAATTCATTTATACCCCAGCTTTCTCCCCAATGGGGACCCAAAGCAGCTTACAGCATTCTCCTCTCGTCCATTTTATCCACACAACCACTCTGTGAGAGCTGGGTTTTTAATATCTCTTTTCTCTCCCCTAAAGAGTCTCAAAGCAGCTTAAAATCACCTTCCCTTCCTCTCCCCACAACAGTCCCCTTGTGAGGTAGGTGGGGTTGAGAGAGTTAGAGAACTGTGACTGGCCCAAGGTTCCCAAGCGGACTTCATGTGGAGGAGTGGGGAATCAAACCTAGTTCTCCAGATTAGAATCCACCACTCTTAACCACTACACCACACTGGCTGGTCAAACTGGGAGTAAAAACCCAGGAAAACCCCTCCCCACTAAGGGGAGTGAGTAGGAGAGACAGGAGAGCAAAGCAGGGTAGGCCAAAGGGGGAAAGGAGGAAGAGGCAGCCTGCCTATCCTATTGGCTGGGTGCTGCTTTCCTTGCCTTGCCAGGTACTCAGGTGGGAACTGCTTCCTGCACCTCTGGTAGGCTGGGCACAGCTTCTCTTTTTTCACATGAGCCTTGCATGGGCTGTTTACCACTTTGCGTGGGGCTTGGGTGAGCTGGACGCAGCCTCAGGTGTTGCAGGCTGGGAGACTCTACCTCCCTCACCTTGTGTAGGGTTCTGGTAGGGCAGGCCAGGTGTTGTCCCTCATACAGAGCTCAGCTAGACTGGATGCAGCCACCTGACTCACCTTGCACAGGGTTTAGGTGGGCTTAGTGCAGCTTCCTTCCTCACCTCACTTTGCACAGAGCTCTGGTAGGCCAGATACTGCCACCTCCATTTCTTAAAGAGCTTGGGTGGGCCAAGTGTTGCTGCCTCCCCTTGCCACCTTGCCTTGCACAGGGCTTAACCCTTCTTTTGCAGGCCCAGCTGCGGGAGGGAGACATCCCACTGCTTTTAGTGGCCAATCTGTCCTGCCTGTGAGATAAACCAGGATGAGAACGTATAACTTGTCCAAGGTCACTCAGTGAGATTCCATGGCAGAATGGGGATTTAAGATCCTAGCCTGAAACTAATGACTACACCATGCTCATTTGCATGAGGTTGCTACTGTTGAACAGTAGTAAGCAATCAGGCCTGGGTGAGTCATGCAAGTTGCATGCTATCAAGCAGTGCCGGATTTATGTATAGGCTAAGTAGGCTGAAGCCTAGGGCCTCTAAATCTAGGGGGTCTCCACAGCCCTGCCCCCCCAGTGGGCAGTCTCCCCTCTCCCAAAATTGCAAACCCAAGACTTCATGTGAGGGCAGAGCAACTCGGGCCCAGCAACTATGAGACTCAGGGCCATCTAGTGGGGCCCAATTGGAATTTTTTTGTGGGGCCCCAGTTCACAGCCAAAGTCTGCAGAATCTTAGAGCTATAAATAAAATCAATCTAGATTGCCCTGGTGTGGCGGCCCCCTTAGGAGTGCTCCAATTGCCTTAAGGCCAGCCCTGATGAGACTGTGCAGGGGTTGGACTGACAAGCCCTGCCCCTTCTAGGTCCCTGGTGCCACTATTCAGAGTACAGACTCCAGGACTCCAGAGCCAGCAGCCCAGAGTCAACAACCAGCTGCACGGCCTTCCCCAGCTCAAGGGTCAGGTCAGTAGTGGTAGTGCTACACTTTAATCAGCAGGAGAGTGCGAGTGGGGGGCAGGCTGGGGCAGACAGACCAGGCAAGCAAGCTCTCCCAAGTCCCTTCCATTCATTCCCTCCTCCTTGGCTTGAACAGAGCAAGCACATGTGACTGGCACGGGCCTCACCCATCCCAAGCGGGGAAATTTATCTTTCACACTTCACAGAACCCTGTCAGTGCCTTCAGCATGCACTTGCTTCCCCTTTCTCAGAACTTCTTGGATATGAAAAGAAATATTGATGGTGTCAATTGTCATGCCAATAAATCCAAACAATACTGCTTCTTACATTAATAGTAGATTAATTGTTCTAAAGCCATTGCAGAATCTAATCAAAGTTTTACATATTTATTTTATATAACTTTTTTGGCAGTTGGCTCTTTTAAATGGCTAGTATTGATTGTTGGATGGGAGCCTGGTATTTGCTGCTGCTGGAATTATTAGATGAGAAATTATAGTTAATTATTGAGCTATTTTGCATCATTTTCAAGCCTCCTAATTGTATGTGTCTTGGAGAAAATTATTTTGACTCCTTTTGGCAATTTTGGGAGTTTATAAACTTTTGAAAATGTTTAGATTGGAAAATGATGTTGTGCTATAGGGTTGGCTTGTTGGATGTGACAGAATAGACTCCATCTTGTGTTTGCTTTAGTTTAGGTTGTTTAGTTTAGTTAAAATGGCCACCCACACTGGGAAGCAGGGCAAAACTCCAGGGTAGGCCTACAAATCCCAGATGCCTCTATGGCCAAAAAGTGCAGGAAAGCCAGGGGGCAGAGTTAGAAGATATAAATGTTCCAGCTAGCCTGGGAGGGGGGGGGAGTCGTCCTGCAACCCTCAGAGAGGCCAGGGGGCTCTTGCTGCAGATTGCCCAAAGGCAGAGGTATGCAGCAAAACATCATTAAAAAAAAAACAATTTGCAAGATTTATTCCATGCGCAGGTCACTCTTTAAATCTGGTGGGCTGTTCAGCTTTGGATTGCTGCCTTGATCCAGTGAACTGCTCTGGCATTATCAATGAAATTTATACCTTCTTTTTATCCTCCACAAAAAGATGGGCAGTTCTAAAATCATTTTTGCCACCTCAGTCTAAAGTGCCTAAATATTTGTCAGACACTATGTAGGACACACACGCAAAAGCCACAGAAGCAGTTTTGGAAAGTTACTGTGCTATCAGTGATGCCCTCAGTCATTCGTACTCTAACGTTAATGGGAAGGGGAAGGGGGAGACCAGGCTTCAAGCTAACAATCTTTTGCAGAAAATGGAAGAACTGGAATTTGTGTATATGTTGCATTTTTGGACCCGTGTCCTAGGTCATTTTCACAAGGTCAGCAAAGCCCTTCAGAAATCAGCCCTGTTACTGAGTTCTTGTGCAAGTTTGTACAGTTCACTTCTGGATTTTTAAGGAAAATTAGAGAAGATTTTGATGAGCCTGAGAAAAAAGCAAAAGCCACCTTGCCAAATGTTAACTACAAAACAAGGAGACCAAGAGTAAGGGAATGGCAAAGAAATGACAGAAGTGCACCTGATGCCTTAGATGCACTTTCTTCAAGAGATAAGTTTAGGATAAAATCCTTTATTCCTATATTAGATGCACTTGAAGCCAATTTAAAAAGAAGTACTGTGTACATTGACGTTGCACAATTGTTTTCCATTCTTGCTAATCTGACAGCATTTTGCTAATCTGACGTTGCACAA